ATAGACCCATATAAAAGCTAGCTAAATTTCAAGCAAAGATACTAATGCTAAAAATATTAATCTTCAAAGGATACTGCTAACCTCTGAATGACTAGCAAATCATTCATGATCAGTGTTTTCTGCTGTCACTGTTGTTTTGTTTTGTTTTATTTTATTCATCTCATCATGTGGAAGCCTACACATTACCTTCAAAGGTAATGCTACCTATCTGCTCATCTGATCAGCTCATTTAAATGTCCCCTCATCCACTGTTGGTATCCATTCCATACATAAAGAAACATCCCTTTCCTTTTAATTTTGAAATTTTGTTTTAAATATGAGATGCATAATACTTTAGAAATATACCTCTAAAAGCCATCCAAATGGAATTATGTCATTCCTTAGATATGTATTTTCAAATCTATAAAAAGTTAAATAGATTTCACTAGTAAAAATTCCTCAGACAGCTGCAGTTCTCACACCAGCCTTCAATCTCAGCAGCATACCTATAAGAGGCAGAACTGCCTGGAGCTAGCCTGAAGATCACCCCAGCCCCCCACAGACTTGAGCAGCAGACCATGAGATCCAAAAGAGCAAAGCCAGCAGACAAGGCAAGACAATAAAGGGAGAGGGAGAAAAAGTTAAAAAGAGCCAACAACAGGATAATAACACGATGATTATAAGTCAGTATGTATCAGTTACAACCATCAATGTTAATGACCTCAATTCATCAATCAAAAGAAATCAACTCACAAAATGGATTAAGAAGCAAAATCCAACAATATGCTGTGTACAAGAAACCAACATAACCCACAAAGAAATTCATATCCTGTGAGTAAAAGGATGGAAATCAGATCTCCATGAGACAGGGACCCAGAAAAAAACAGGATTAGCTATCTTATTTGGAGACAAAGTGAATTCAACCAAAACTAATTAAGAGAGACAAAGAAGGCCACTACATCCTTGTAAAGGGAACAATCCAAGGGGAAGAGATGACAATCATAAATATATATATGCACCAAATATTGATGCCCCCAAACTATATAAAACAAATATTAAGGACATGAAAAACCAAATAAGCACTAATACAGTTATAATGGGGGATCTCAATACCCCACCATCACAAATAGACAGGACACCTAGACAATCAACAATGAAATAGTAGAACTGAACCAAGCTTTTGAACAAATGGACTTAACAGACATCTACAGAGTGTTCAATCCCACAAAATCAGAATACACACTCTTTTTTGGGCTGCATATGGGTCATTCTCCAAAATAGACCAAATACTAGCTCATAGAACATGTTTAAGTAAATGCAAAGGAAGTGAAGTTATTCCATTTATATCATCAGACCATAGTGCAATTAAACTGGAGATCAATAACAAAAGAAACTGCAAGAACTTCACAAACACATGGAAATTGAATAACTCTCTCCTGAACAACCAATGGATCACAGAGGAAATTAAAGAAGAAATTAGTCAGTTTTTACAATTAAATGGAAATGCCAATATAACATATAGGAATCAATGGGACACAATGAAAGCAATTCTACAAGGGAAATTCATAACAGTGAATTCCCACACTAGGAAAACAGAGCAAGCTCAAATAAACAATCTAATGATGAATCTTAAGCTTCTAGAAAAAGAAAAGCAAGAAAAACCCAAAGCTCAAAGAAGGAAGGAAATTATAAAGCTCAGAGAAGGAATCAATGAAATAGAGACTAAGAGAACAATACAAAAAAATCAATGAATCGAAGTTGATTTTTTGAAAGAATAAATAAAATTGACAAATCCTTAGCCAACCTCATCAAAAAAAAGGAAAGAAAAGGCTCAAATCCAAGCAATTAAGAATGAAAAAGTTGAAGTCACAACAGATCCAGCAGAGATCCAGAAGATCATCAATACCTATTTCAAGAACCTGTACTCTAATAAAATGGAAAATACAGAAGAAATGGACACATATCTAGAGATATATTAATTGCCAAAGTATAACAAAGAAGATATAAAAATTCTAAACACCCCAAATACAATCAATGAAACTGAAAACATTATTAAAAATATGCCAACAAAAAGAAGCCCAGGTCCTGATGGCTTCACTGATGAATTCTATGAGACATTTAGAGAAGAACCACTGCGACTGCTCTTTAAACCTTTTAATGAAATTGAAAGCAATACTTCTAAATTCATTCCAGGAAGAAAGTGTTACTTTGATTATAAAACCAGGGAAAGACACAACCAAAAAAGAGAATTATAGTCAATCTCGCTAATGAACATAGACGAAAAAAACTTCAATAAGATAATGGCAAACAGAACGTCATCAAGAAGATCATACATCCTGACCAAGTTGGATTTATCCCAGGAATGCAAGGATGGTTCAACATATGTAAATCAATAAATGTAATACACTGTATTAACAGTGACCATACGATCATCTCTATATATGCAGAAAAAACATTTGACAAAATTCAACACCCATTCATGATGAAAACCCTGCAGAAAATTGGAATAGATGGTCTTTATCTCAATTTAATAAAGGCTATCTATAAAAAAGCAACAGCCAATATCATACTAAATGCTCAAAAACTAAAAACCTTCACACTAAAATCAAGAACAAGACAAGGATGTTCACTATCACCACTCCTAATTAATACAGATTTAGAAACATTAGACACAGCAATTAGACAAGAGAAAGAAATAAAATCAATAAAGATAGTAAAGGAAGAAGTTAAACTGTCATTATTTGCTGATGTTATGATACTCTACACAGAAGATACAAAAACTCCATGAAAAGACTGCTAGGCTTAATTGACCTATTCAGTAGAGTAGCTGGATGCAGTGTAAACATTCAAAAATCAATAGCCTTCTTTAGGGAAATAACAGACTCACTGAGAGAGATATTACTAAAACAATTCCTTTCACAATAGCATAAAAAAATGAAATATCTAGGAATCAATCTAACAAAGGAAGCAAAAGATCTCTACATTGAGAACTACAACCCTCTGAAAAATGAGATCGGACAAGATATAAGAAAATGGAAAGATATCTCTCGTTCCTGGGTAGAAGGACCCAATATAGTGAAAATGAATATACTTCTAAAACTGCTATACAGATTCAGTGCAATCCCTATTGAAATCCCAACACTATATTTCACAGAACTAGAGAAAATAATCCAAGAATTCATTTGGAACCAGAACAGACCTAGAATAGCAAAAACAATTCTAGGCAACAGAGACATGACATCCCCAACTTGAAATTATATCAAAAAGCCACTGTGTTAAAAACAGCATTGTACTGGCAAAGAAACAGACCTGAGGATCAGTGGAATAAATTAGAAGACAGAGAAACAACTCAGATGTATTCAGCTACCTCATCTTTGACAAAGGAGCTAACCTTTCTCACTGGAGGAAAGATAGCCTCATTAATAAATTGTGTTGCAAAAACTCAATTTCAACCTGCCAAAGATTAAAACTAGACCCTTATCTTTCACCATGCACTAAACTAAAATCCAAGTGGATTAGAGATCTAAATATTAAAACAGAAACACTAAATTTTCTGGAATATAAGTTACACAGAACTCTCAAAGACATTGGCATAGGAAAAGACTTTATGAACAAATCCTCAGTAGCACAGGAATTAGCATCAAGAACCAACAACTGGGATCTCATCTTATTATAAAGCTTCTGAAATTCGAAAGAAACCACCGAAAGAGCTAAGAGACAACCCACAGCTGCTCCTCAGACAAAGGACTATTATGTAGAATATATAAAGAACTCAAAAAAATCAGCCCCCCAAATATAAAGACCTGATTCAAAAACGGGCATCTGAAATGAACAGATATTTCTCAGATAAAGAGGTAAAAGCAGCAAATAAATATATGAAAAAAGTTACATATCACTGGATGTGGAGATGGAGATGCAAACAACACTGAGATTCCACCTCACCCCACAAAGAATGGCTGCTATCAAGAAATCAACCAATAACAAATGTTGGCATGGTTGTGGAGAGAAAGGAACCCTTCTCCACTGTTGCTGGGAGTGCAGACTGGTGCAACCACTATGGAAATCATTATGGAGATACCCCAACAAACTAAGATTAGAGGTTCCATTTGACCCAGCTATTCCTCTGCTGGGTATCTTTCAAAAAAATTAATAGAATCATACCACAGTGATATATGCGCACCCATGTTTATAGCGGCACAGTCTGTAATAGCTAAAACTTGGAAACAGCCCAATTTCCCATCAGTTGGAGACTGGATAAAGAAGATGTGGTTTTGTATAAAATGGAGTACTCCTCAGCCATATTGTTTCTCTGGTGTGATATACTAAAAGTGTAAATAAGGGTCAAAATGTATAATTGATATTTTGTACTAGGAAGAAAAGGTCTAAAGGTATTGGGCAAATGGGAGGGGTAGGGGAAAGGTAAAAAGGGAAGAGAAAAGGAAGAAAATGGAAACAAAGTCTTTGTAAACAGGGAAGGGTGGAGTGGGGAAGGGAGACTAGGGTAATAAGGATAAAATAAGAACCAAGATATGTCATGTAAAGGAACAAGATACCAGTGGTGAATGTAACTGTATTGTATGTCTAAAATGTACCAATAAAAATTCAGTTTATAAAAAAAATTCCTGAAACATAAAATCATAAAGTATTATTCAGCTCAAAGAAATATATTAGAATTTTCTTTGGTTTACCGCTACATGTCATTTATGCTTAAGAGTATAAGACACAGGAAAAAAACTGAAAACAGATGACTGAAAAACACTACTATGCTAAGCAAATAGTTGAAAATGCATAAATCCCTGAATAATCACTTTATCTTCAAAGACAGACTTTAAATTTTTTTTAATTAATCCTTCCCAACACTGACTTTGAATTGCCTTGAAATCAAAAAGTACATGTATCAGCTAACTCAAAAACTTGCACAAAATTTATGTTTCAGGTCCTCACCACATGCCACACACACCCCACTCCCTCAATCCCGGATCTTCTGTATTGCCAGGGTCCAACCACAATATGGCCCTTACCTGTTTGCCATCTAAAGTGTACAAGCGTTTCACCACACCGGAGTCCAGCTTGATGGCATCAGTTATATCAGTGAGGACCTGCTCAAAGGAATGAGCGGTTTTCTTGTTCAGCAGAATCCTGACAGCTTTCCGTGGCTTCACTCCACTTCTGATGATAGTGACCAGCTTGGGCCGAATGAAATCCTTATTCTCCCGCACTTCTGCAGTACTTCCCTTGGCAGTAGCCAGTGAAGACACAGCCCGGGAAGCCGAAGTGGTCTTGACGTTCACTGACCAGTTGGGATTCACATTCTTGGTGTACTCCAGTTTCTTGAAGGGCTCAATCGAGCCACAGACATAACTCTCTCCTAAGGAAGATGGAAATATATTTAAATGTACACTAAAATAAACCCATTTGCTTTTCCCTAGTTTTTAATTTTTCTATTTTTATTTAAAGGCAAGAACAAGCTGTGCCCATTCCATTAAAGGAAATCTTTTTTTGTCTTTAAATTTTTATTTAAAATTATTCCTTAACAGATAATCTTTTAATGAAAATATTCAGGCTGTTAAGATGGGAAAATATACAGAAGAAAGTAATAAATGTACCAAGAGAAGGCAAATTATAAAATGATTCTAAATTCATATTTATAAAGTAAGGTCAACACATTTTGAAATTAATGACTTTTATAATGGCTTTTTTTCTGTGTTAATAAGTTTTTGTAACCAGGAATATGGAAAAATTCATAAAAGGACTCCATAAAAGGCAGGTAAAGTGACCTAGGCCAAATCACACATAACCCACTTACTTTTATGTAAGTCCCTGACCTATTTTTAAACTAATGGTGTAAGACCACAGAATTATATATTTTTAAAAACCTGAACTACAATTTCAAAAATAAAAAAGGACAAGTATATATGTTATCAAACATTTATTTTGCAAAGGTTTTAAAAATATTTCACTTTAATGTATATATGTATAGCCTATGCCTCACTGGAAGTTGTACAAATAGTACAATTTTAACCAATCTCCTTCCTATTCACCTGGCACATTATGACTTGTCCCCACTGTTTCTGTCAGGATTTAAGTATACAATGTATGTATGTATGTGTGTGT